GGAAAATCAGTGAATTGCATAATATAGTCTTAAGGAAATGAGGGAATAGTGATGTATACGCTGGGCCTGATATATGTGTTGGGGTTATGGGGGGAAAGAAGGATAATTTCTTTTAAAAACATGTACTAACCAACTATGTACATAAATCTGAAAGTACTAAAACACAGAGGTGAAAAATCAAAGAGATTTCTGTCTTCAAGAGACTTAACTTCTGCAAATGTTAGATAAGCAAATAGGTAAGTAAAATAGAGTACATGTCAGTAGTAAGGAGAAAAGAAAGAGAAGTGGAGAGTGCTTAGGGGAGATCTGAACAGTGTGTTCAGTGTAAACCTCACAGAGTTGACATTTATTCAAGAGTGGAAGGATCCCTAAGCCAGGAAAACACAATATGCAAAAACACAAGCCTGAGGCCCCCAGATTTAGGTCTAAATGTAGCAGAGATCAGTGAGAGGGGAAGAGATGGAGAATGATGAGTCTAGAAAGGTAACATCCTCACCGGAATGTATAAAAGGAATTATATTTTGAAATATCCACTCCAAAATATTGACACCCAGAATCAAATAAATAATAACTGAAAGCACTTTGCAAAGCAACAAGAATGTTCAAGAGTATTATTATTATTATCATTATTATTATTATTTGAGATGGAGTCTTGCTGTTGTCACCTAGGCTGGAGTGCAACGGCACGATCTCAGCTCACTGCAACCTTTGCCTCCCAGGTTCAAGCAATTCTTCTGCCTCAGCCTCCCGAGTAGCTGGGATGACAGGCGCCGGCCACCACGCCTGGCTAATTTTTGTATTTTTAGTAGAGACGGGGTTTCGCCATGTTGGCCAGGCTGGTCTCAAACTCCTGACCTAGTGATCCGCCTGCCTCAGCCTCCCAAAGTGCTGGGGTAACAGACTTTAGCCACCCCGCGCCAGGCTGTATTATTATTATTTATAGCATGTATTATTATTAGGGAAAGTTAATCCATTCTCTCCAATCCTCAGTTGTACTCAATTGTACCATGGATAAACTAATAACTCTTTAATGTTCCTTGAGAACAGCATGGGGAAAAAGTGAGGTATTTAAGCATTATAAAATACTCTGAAAATCCATACTGCTTTTCATATGCATGGTATTATTTGTCTTAGGAAAAAATAGATATAGCATAAGTAAATGCTTGTCAGCATACTTTGAAGTCCTTTTAGTGCTTAGAGGGTTCCCAGAGGGGAGAAATATATCAGTTTTCTATTATAATCAAGAAAAGCTCACCTCTTATGGGAATATATATTTAAAAGAAACAAACAAACACAAAAAATCAAGGAAAGAACTTTGTAAGCAGAGGCTCTAAATTCAGCACAGGTTTGCAAATGTCCTGATCCAGCAGAATACTCTGGATATCAAATAGACTCCTAATGTGGAGGATGTAGTTCAAAGTTCCTTTTCAGTATTACACAGGTACCAGACTCACATCAGATTACCGGGAGGAATCTCCAGCAACCTTCATGACTGGCAGCTACCAAGCTATAGAATTTTTCCAGCTTGCTGTCATGGACTTTGCACTGATGTACTAATCCAAAAAACATTCATAACCACATGGTACTGTCTTTGAAATGACTGCAAGGCAGTTCTTCAAATTTGTTAACTCTGCCTTTCATTTGTGTATTTTGTTTACACATGTAGGAAGACTCAATGCCAATATTTAATGTATTGTTTAAATGGCAGACGTATCTAAAAAATATTGTCATTTCTGTGCTTCTGCTTTTCATTTTATTTTGAAACAAACAAACAAACAAACAAAAACAATTGTTTAGTCCAGAAGAGAATAATTCAGAGAAACTGAAGCTTTTGGGGAGATGAGAGAGATTTATTAAGCATTTATCATGTTAGTTCTACAACACTAAAGGTGATCCCAAACTCTCTCAGACGTGTTTTGCTGGAGAAACAAAAATTATACTCTTGTATTTAAAAGTCCTATGAGTGCTCAAAAATAATAATTACTCTTTACTAAGCACTGATTATATACTTAGCACTATCAACAGCCATCATATGTCTGTGTATACATACATATAATCTCATTTACTTTTTACATTAAAACTATGACATAAACATTATTATCCTCATTTTAAAGATGGAGAAATTTAGTAACTTCCAAGGTCACATAGCTAGTTATGTGATAAAGATGATAATTCACCTTAGGTCTGGCCTCCCCAAATTTCATACTCTTAACCACCAGACTAAACAGCATTGGTCAAAGAAAATTATAAGTAAATAAGGAATTCTACTGCCAATTAATCTGGTGCTTTACATGAATGTAGAAAGCAAAGCTGTATATCTACAACATCATATGGCTTGCAGGAGAAAATTTTGAGTACAGAGGCTATTTACGAGGTTTCCTGGAGTTATGACTAGCATAGATAATATTTGTATTTGGTTTAATTGCTACATGTGCTTAAAATAACAGCACCGGCCAGATGCGGTGGCTTACCCCTGTAATCCCAGCATTTTGGGAGGCCAAGGTAGGTGGATTGCCTGAGGTCGGGAGTTGGAGACCAGTCTGACCAACATGGAGAAACCCCGTTTCTAGTAAAAATACAAAACTAGCCAGGCATGGTGGTGAACACCTGTAATCCCAGCTACACGGGAGGCTGAGGCAGGAGAATCTCTTGAACCTGGGAGATGGAGGTTGTGGTGAGCCAAAATCACTCCATTGAACTCCAGCCTGGGCAACAAGAGCAAAACACTCCGTCTCAAAAACAAACAAACAATGACAACAACAACAACAAAACACAGATCCTTCCATACATGTGAACTAAAGGATCTGAAATTCAAACTAATGATTTAGGGGTAATCCAGCTTTGACTTATCCAAGAGATGATCCTTCTCCATTAGCATGAAGGATTCCAAATTCAATTTTTCAGTAAGTGCTTTTAAAGCCAGGTCCAGAAATTTCTCTTTGAAAACTTGCCAAATATTTCAGAAATAATTAAGTCATTAGACTATTTATCAAAATAGAAAATGCGTATTTTCTTATATCCAGCAATTACATTTCTAGAAATTTATTTTCCAAAAATTTCATATATCTACTTATAGATACATAGACAGATGTTCATTAAAGCATTGTTTAAATAGTAAAAGACAAGAAACGAAGTTAAGACCCATCAGTGGAGACTGACTGAAACCATTCTTTATTCAATTAATATTCCTCATGCGTTCTATGTGTCAGGGATTGCTTGGTCGATGTGATTTGGATTTACAAATCTCAATGACATGGAAATTTTATAGCACTAAGAGAGAATATTCAAAGGGTTTCATGAACTCTTTAGTTTATCTGAAATGCAGAGAGCAAAAACAGATAACTAATCCAAACTCTAATTTTAGGCTTCTTCCTATAGGTAAGAAGAGTTTTGAATCATTTACTGATGCTGAGCTTTAATCTTGATACTCACTCTTGTCTGACAAATGACAGAATAGTGCCCACTACTTATAACCAAATCAAGTCACCTGAAGGGTTGACCAGAGCTGATCCCAGCATGATGGAGGGAGGGAATACAGGTGGCTGATTGTCCTGACAATGTCTTGAATTTCCCAGGGATTGGAGTAGGTGGCCCCTGTTAACATTCAATCACACCATTGCCTATGCTAAATTCTATTACTGCTTGTGCTTGTTTTATTTTGCATTCAAATGGGGTGAGTTTGTTCCTATTTAGTTAGACATAAATATAAAAAAAATAACAAAAAAGCAGAATTCCTAAAAAAAAATAAACAAACCTTTAGGGACTCAAAAATGTGCTTTTATCTTCTTAAGTGAAGTTATGAAGACAACTGGGACGAAAAGGCCCAACAGGCTTCTCTGGCATAACTTACTTTAAAGGAGTGATCATAATCTACCTTCCTGTCATCATTGTCCACAAGAAGTAAAAGTAACTATTTGGCTGTTTGGTAATAAAGGAGGGATGGTTCCTCAGGGCTCATTTGGGAATTTTCCTGAAGATGTCACCTCACCGTGTGTGTGTGTGTGTGTGTGTGTGTGTGTGTGTGTGTGTGTGTGTTGATGGAAATATTTAGTAGTTACTTTTGAGGAAGGTGCCTAGAGATTTTTAGTTTTGGTTGGGAAGACTCTTTTTTTTTTTAAATTAGTGTTTTATATAGAATAATGTCAGATTTAGAGAAAAGTTACAAAAATCATACAGAGTTTCCATACATTCCTCATCCAAGTCCCCCTATTTTTAACATTGTATATCTCTATAGTACACTTGCCACAACTAAGAAGCCAACATTGGTACATTACTCTTAACTGAACTCTAAACTCAGATTTCACTAGGTTTTTTTCACTAATGTCTTTCTACAATGGGACTTCATGAAAATCTTAAAATATTAAAAATCTCATATGTATGTAATTTATAATTTCTTTTCATAATTCAAAATTTGATGCTTATTTATCAGGAACTTACAATATGATTAAGATGCTCTAAGGAATTGAGAGGAGATAATTGCAAAGAAAATGTGTTCCTCTCCTTTAATTTGCTTATAATATGTATATTTTTAATTACAATGAATATTTTACCAAGAATTATCTGTAATCAAATAATAAGGATTGTTAAAAATTATATTATATTGTTAAAAGAGCCATTGATACTTTATATTTTAGGTACTGTGCAAGGCATTTTACATGCTTTACATGCATTATCTCACTTAAGCCTCACAATAACTGGAAACAAACAAGTGGGTATTACACCTACTTATGTATGAAAGCCAGAATAACTGAAGAGACAACTTGTGTAAGGAAAAACAGTATATGACAGAGCTAGAATTTGAAACTCTTTTTTATGACTTCAGAGCATCTGTCTCTTTTCACTATACCATTCAGTTCCTATTAGCAAGTTAAACTTGACCATTATAAGGTCAAATAAGTTGTCTGAACTCAAGCTAACTGACAGAATAGGGAAATTAAGGTGAGAAGGCAGAGGACGGTAAAATAAAGAAGGAGACTCACCAAAAGTAAAATCATTGCACATTAATTTTGCACATTTTGCATAATCTTTAATAGCTATTTTAAATCACAGTGTGCTCAAGACATTAGGAATATAAAGCACACTCAACTTCAATGTCTCTTAATGTGCTTGTAGCTCATACCTGAAACTGCATTCCACTATGATTTGTTCCCATTTTCATTAAATCTTGAGCTTTTAAAAAATTTTATTTCTTCCTCCTGTAGATTCACCCATAAAATATGTTGAGGAATCATATCTTCTCTTGAGGCCTTTTTGCTAGATACTGTATATTTCAAAGTGATGGCCCAGAGGTGGAATAGAGATTAAGTGGAGGAAGATGCATAAAGAAGGAGGCTGCATCTGTGGTTAAAAGAATAAAGCAGAGAGAGATTCAAAGAGGGAATAGGCTCTTGGCTTAAAGTATCATCCTCTCTTAACATGGGTAAGAGCTGGCACTTTTCATCAGCGCTGTATTTTCATGACACCATATTTATTCATAGCTATTAAAGTTTAGAAAATAAAGACTCAACAAGAAATTGTAAAAACTTATTGAAATTAAGACTTCTCTAGAAGTTTAGCTTTTTTTCTGGATAGACTCTACACTCAAGATTAGGTAAGTACTTAGATTAGGTTTATTCAATATTTCTGAGACTTACAGGATTAAGAGAGAATAAAAACCTTGCATGCAACTGTGCCTTGTTACCAAGGAGGAAAATAGTAATGCATTAAAATCAAACACTAATGATTAAACAGTATTAAATCAGTCTTCTCAGTCGTACTAATGCAGACTATCATTTCTTGAAAAAAAAAAGCTACCCAAATAAAGATACGAGATTACTCATGGTGTAAGTGAACACAAAAATAAATACAACTAAGATAAATCAAATTGCTATCTTCATTACATTGTAAGCTCTTTCACAGCAAGGAACATGCTCTCTTTTTCATGTATTATCTAGCTTACCTTGAAACCTTTGAACATGTTCTTCATTGGTGAATCCATTATTTGTGATACAATACCTACAACAGGAAATAACTTTCATTAATTTGCATCATGACTTAGAGAAACAATCCAAGAGTTTGAATTAAACCACACTGACTATCAATGGCTCTATGACTTCGAAAAGCAATTTACAGTACAGAATTGTTCTGACATATGAGAAAGTAATTTTAAAAGGAAAGGTGTATATATAATATTTTACTATGAATAGTGTAATATATAGTTAAATAACTTAGCAGGCCCCTAATTATTTATATTATTCTTACCCAGTGTATGTTTGACATTACAATGATTGCATAATAGGTTACACCAGAAGACAAAATGTGCCATTCATCGAATATTATTCTGGGTCCCCAAACAGATACACGTTCCAATGCAAACACTGTTGGGAGACCCCCTGAAACTATTGCTACAGAATAAAAGATGAAATGCTCTTAATTATTGTAAATACAAAATTGCATGCAGGATTGTGTAAAGACAATGCCAGGTTGGGCTGCCAGAATGAGCCAACAGTGTGTGATGTGCTTCCCCCTGCAGAGAGCCTATAAACGGACATGCAGTCAGGGAGGTTTCACGTCACCAAGATTCCTATCCCAGAAAAGCAGATGATCATATCTCTGGGAATGGAATGAGACCCTTGTGGAGAGCCTATAAACAGATGCATGAGGGGCACCTGTTGATGTGGATAAGATAGGGTTATAAATGCTCTTATCTTGCCACAGCTTTTCTAGATCTCTTTAGGGTTAAGGTATACTCCCTTCTGAGAATTTCTGGTCTAACCAATTGTCTAGTTTCATGTCCTATTTCTATTGATTGTTTGCAACCAGCTTTTGCTGCAACTGTTACTGCTGATTAATATCTTGCTAATCATAGGTTATGGATAGACTGTGTTTCTGTTTTAAGGCTCTGTTAGAAATTGCTGACGTACACACTATATTGTAAATTCTTATCTCTGTATACTGTACTTCTGTATACTTATGTTATGTTAAAGAATTACTTCATCCCCATGTGACCGTCTCACCTCATAATCAAACGAACCTAAATCCCTCACTAACTTACCCCAACCCTCACTAAACTTAATAATAAATGCCGGTATATCCAATGCATTGGCAGTATCACAGGACCAGAAGGCGGTGATCCCCCTGGACCCAGCTTTCACTATCTTGTGTGTGTCTATTATTTCTCAACCTGCTGATCTGCCTGGGACCAAAGAAAGAGCCCTGTTGCATTGCAGGCTGCTGGCCAGTTCCCGCAATAAAACACGACATAGAATTTCCTTATTAGTAAGAAGACTAGCTTATATTCAACAGATCAGATTTAATTTGATTTTACAATAATGCCGAATTATAACTGGCAGCTCATTTACTTTATTGTGTACAAGTACTCTGCTCCTAGTGTTTGCAGGATGAACCATTGTCTTAGGTGGAATTATCCCAGATACAGACCAGTAGCCAAGGATTTGAGTGCAATTGATTTATAAGGTAAATGTTCCTAGAAGTAACTGGTAAGGGAGAAGAAGAAGCTGGACAGAAAATAGAAATAAACCAAGCAAGGGTGCAATTTCAGAAGTTCCAGCCTCAATCTGATCTCACAGGGAACTATGGAGTGTACATTATTACTCAAAATTTGTGGTCCTAGGAGGCAAGGGAACAGCAGCCAGTCTTTGGCTCTTGGCAGCAGTGCTGGGGTGTGGGTTGGGGAGAGTGACTCAAAGGGAGGCAAGTTGACTCAGCAGAAGCACCCACTGTCTTTCACAGTTTATTGTCTGCCTGCCTGAGTCAAGGATCATCTGATCACAAGTAATAAAGAGCACCTCAAGTTTGTTTAAGCAAAAAGAAATTTATTAAACTAACATCTGACTATGTCATAAAATACTATATAGGAATAATAGCCTGGGACACCAGGGACTGAATGTAGAAACTAGAAAGCCAAAAGGGACCAAAGAAGTCTTTCATTTTCTAGCTCTTTCCATACTGTGTGTCTTGCCTCTGTTTCTTTCCAAAGAAACCTTCTCTCTGATAGGTCATTTGTATATTATGCCCCCCAGTTCCTGAATTTCTATGAACTTTCAGTTGCAGAGAAAATGTACACTGACTCAGACCTTCTATCTCTTAGTTCTAGATCTTGTAAGAGGGAATCTGATTCAGGTAGCAATCTGTTTCCATGAGATTACTGGGAAGGAGAAAGCCAGCATCGTAAAATTTACCTGGAAGAACCCATCCCTGGCAATTCACAAAGAATCAGTGTGGACTCTCAAGGACCCTGAAAGCATCTCTAATATACTACATAAAACCTACTCTTCCAACATGTGGAGGAGTTTGCAGGAGGTGGCAGTTAAATGTTTTGCTTTTAAATGTATAGTCTACTGTTGAATAACATGGGTTTGAATTGCCCAAGTCCATTCATGTATAAATTTTCTTCTGCCAACCCTGACACAGAAAGATGAACCCCCTCTGTTCCTTTTCCTCTTCAGCTTACTCAGTGTGAAGATGACAAGGAGGAAGACTTTTGTGATGATCCACTTGCACTTAATACATAGTAAATATATTAATATTTTCTTTTCCTTATAATATTTTTATTTTTTATTTTTTATTTTTTTTTTACTTTAAGTTCTGAGATACATGTGCTGAAGGTGCAAGTTTTTTACGTAGGTATACATGTGCCATGGTATTTTGCTGCACCTATCAACCTGTCATCTAGTTCTTAAGTTAGGTATTTGTCCTAATGCTCTCCCTCCCTTTTCCCCCGACCCCCTGAACCCCTGACAGGCCTCAGTGCATGATGTTCCCCTCCCCATGTCCATGTGTTCTCATTGTTCAACTCCCACTTACGGGTGAGAACATGCATTGCTTGGTTTTCTGTTCCTGTGTTAGTTTGCTGAGGATGATGATTTTCATCTTCATCCATGTCCCTGCAAAGAACATGAACTCATTCTTTTCTATGGCTGTGTAGTATTCCATGGTGTATATGTGCCATATTTTCTTTATCCAGCCTATCATTGAAGGACATTTGGGTTGGTTCCAAGTCTTTGCTATTGTAAATAGTGCAGCAGTAAACATACATGTGCATGTGTCTTAATTGCAGAATGATTTATAATCCTTTGGGGATATATCCAGTAATGAGATTGCTGGGTCAAATGGTATTTCTAGTTTTAGATTCTTAGGGATTCACCACACTGTCTTCCACAATGGCTGAACTAATTTACACTCCCACTAACAATATAAAAGCATTCCTATTTTTCCACAGCCTTGCCAGGATCTGTTGTTTTCAAACTTTTTAATAATCACCATTCTAACTGGTATGAGATGGTATCTCATTGTGGTTTTGATTTGCACTTCTCTAACGACCAGGGATGATGAGCTTTTTTTCATGTTTGTTGGCTGCATAAATGTCTTCTTTTGAGAAGTGTCCGTTCACATCCTTGGTCCACTTTTTGATGGGGTTTTTTTTTCTTGTAAATTTAAGTTCCTTGTAGATTCTGGACATGAGACCTTTGTCAGATGGATAGATTGCAAAAATTTTCTCCCATTCTGTAGGTTGCCTGTTCACTCTAATGATAGTTTCTTTCGCTGAGCAGAAGCTCATTAGTTTAATGAGATCCCATTTGTCAATGTTGGCTTTCATTGCAATTGCTTTTGGTGTTTTAGCTATGAAGTCTTTGCCCATGCCTACATCCTGAATACTATTGGCTAGGTTTTCTTCCAGGGTTTTTATGGTTTTAGATTTTACGTTTATGTATTTAATTCATTTTGAATTAATTTTTGTATAGGATATAAGGAAGGGGTCCAGTTTCCATTTTCTGCATATGGCTAGCCCATTTTCCCAGCACCGTTTATTAAATAGGGAATCATTTCCCCATTGCTTGTTTTTGTCAGGTTTGTCGAAGATCAGATGGTTGTAGATGTGTGGTGTTATTTCTGAGGCCTCTGTTCCATTCCATTGGTCTATATATCTGTTTCAGTACCAGTACCATGCTGTTTTGGTTACTGTAGCCTTATAGTATAGTTTGAAGTCAGGTAGCATGATGCCTCCAGCTTTGCTCTTTTTGCTTAGGATTGTCTTGGCTCTATGCGCTCTTTTTTTGGTTCCATATGAAATTTAAAGTAGCTATTTTTAGTTCTGTGAAGAAAGTCAATGGTAGCTTGATGGGGATAGCATTGAATCTGTAAATTGCTTTGGGCAGTATGGCTCTTTTCACGATACTGATTCTTAATATCCATGAGCATGGAATGTTTTTCCATTTGTTTGTGTCCTCTCTCGTTTCCTTGAGCAGTGATTTGTCTCTGCATTGGTCTTACTGAGAGCTGCAGACTGGAGCTGTTCCTTTTCAGCCATCTTGCCAGTTTAAAAAAAAAAAAAAAAAAGCTATCATTTTCTTAATAACATTTTCTTTTCTCTAGCTTACATCATTGTAAGAATACAGTATATAATACATATAGCATACAAACTATGTATTAATCAACAGTTTGTGTTATCATTAAGGCTTTTAGTTAACAGTAATCTATTATTAGGTAAGTTCTTGGGGAGTCAAAAGTGCAGGAGGAGTTGGTGTGCCTAACCCCTGAAATGTTCAAGAGTCAACTGTATGTACTATACAGATTTGGTGGGAAACAAAAGCAGAATGTGTGATCTGTTTACTGATATCCTAATTATTCCCTATTACAGATAATGCCACTAAAAACTGGAAATACAGAAATGCATTAAACTAGCATCATTGAGAATTGCCTAAATAGAAAGATGGCCCTAAAATGACTGATTTTCATATGTAGTTATAGCACTGTAAATTGGTACAACCTTTTAGAAAGCAATTTGATTATAAGCATAAGAGCCATAAAAGTGTTCATGTCCATTGACCCTGTAATCTTACTTATAAGAAACTATCACAAAGAGTTCAAAATATGGGGAAAACTTTTATATACTATATGTTTATTATAGAAGTACTTGCAGAGAAAAAACAGAAAATAATCTTAAAATACTTCAAAAAGGGAATAATTAAATAAACCACTGGAATATTCTTCAG